ATGCTTTGATGTTTAATGCCGGATCATGCATTCTCTTTGGATTCCACCTTTGATTTGCGTGATGTTGCAAATACTTAATTACAATTTATGAATGCAAATTATTTTTTAAACAAGTCAAGCTTTTTACAGCGATCTTCTCAGTGACCCTGCCTGTGACAGACAGTTGTCCTGTCACTTCAGTGTCATGTCACAGCTGGAGGGGACAACAGCTCCTTTGTTTAGTAACCATCTGGGCTGGGAGCCATTCTCTACAATTTTTTAAAGGTTGTGGCACTGGCAATTACTAAGATGTTCAAACAGTAGGCCAGTCGTGAAGGCTTTGGAAAGGACAATCCCATGTAGGTGTTCCAGTATTGTGGATAAACACATTTATAGCAATTAGTACAAGCAAAAAATATGTTAAAATTGAGTCTGGCTCCCTCTATGTGCTCAATGAGTAACACTGGTTACAATTAGGGTCCTTTACTGCATAACCTATATCATTACCAAGAACAAGTCCTTGGAAAGGCTAAGTTTTGTGTGTGTGTGTGTGTGTGTGTGTGTGTGTGAGTTATTCTCATTGGTTTCTCTTAGGCGTCCTGAGTCTAAATCTACTGTTTAATACAATACAGCTTTTGCATCCAACAACTGACTGAAGTCTCTGCACCCTCTGTTTCAAATGCATATTGGATTCAAGTTTCAGTCCTTAGACACTTCCTTACTTGGGGGATAGTGTCTATGTCCACATACATGGCATTCACTTGGCATTTATGTGAATAATTTTTGACGATGAGTATTTATCAAGAAAAATCACATGTACCAAGCACCAGGACAGAGAACTGGATACATAATTACTCCTATTTCTTAAACTCTGCTTTTAAAATAAGAATTCTTCCAGCTTATTTTTCTTTGAATGTTATTATTGGGGGCCTTAATGAGAAATCTATTACCTGGTATTAAGTTTGGTACTTGTTTCATTTCATTTGTCTTTTATAATTCTGTTCTTAAATTCTCGCAGCTCTTACTCTCAGATAATCACTTCCTCCCAAAAACCTAGCTTTCATTTTCTGTCAAGTTGCCAGCTTGTGAAATACTCAAATATTCTGACCAATAGCTACATCACTAATGAAGACTTTGAAAAGTAAATTAAAGATGGAATCGTGACCTAAACCTAGGTCATTCTTTGTTGCATGCCCCTAAGTGGAAGGTGGTCATGAGATGAGAAGATAAAGACAGAGCAGGTGGGGTTGGTTGGCCTTACACAAAATCATGGCTTATGCCAAGTGAGCTTGTTAAGAAGTATAGCACCTTATATACTATTTTCAGGAGAGGAATGAGATAAAGTTAGTAGAATATATCATACAAAGGGACAAAGTCAGCATACAGGGGGACAAAGTCAGACAGAAGCTAAATCAGACAATGTTGCCCAAGGGGAACATAAGGTTTTTCAAGAACATGAAAGACCAGGCACACAGTGACCTTGGGACTAATAACCATAGTCCTGGAGGGTGGTCCAAGCTGTGTGAGGCTCTCACCCTAAGCCATTTACTAGTTCCGACAATCATGTTCCTGGTTTTAGACAACCCACTGCATTCCTTCTTCATACATCAAGTTCTCAGCAAAAGCCTTGGATCAGCTCAGCCCTCAACATAACGGCATGGAATTCTGATAAATGAAGAATAAAGGTCATAAGTAACGCACCTTAAACCCTCGGGAGACACATCTATTAGAAAGACTATAGCTCCAGCTGGAAACTCACTGTAACATAAATGCAAACATTTCCAGCTCCTAGACATCATTTGGAATATGTAATCCCTGATGTAGTAGATACAGGAAAGGCTTATGGGTGGATGCTGCTCCTTCTGTTGCTGCTACTACTACCGTTTTCTGAGCAGTAAGAGACTCCCTGTGACACAGGAACCGTGTCAACAGCTTTTGGGACTTTAAATGTAAAATAATCAAGGATACTCTTTGTACTTTTGTATCATTGACTCGTATAACAGCACCAAACCCTATGATTTAGGTAATTATCATCATGAACTTTTAATTTACTTGCCACGTGGCTTGTGAGTGAATACATGCTAGAATGCACAAGTTCATGACTGACGCTGTATCACATTGATACTTAAAGTAAAGCAGATACACCTATTAAATCAGGCTCTGGGTGTGAGGCAGCCCTCAAATGTTTTAGGTTTAGACCCAGAAATCCTATAAAGAAGTTCAACCTGTTCCCCTTCAATGGCTCACTCAGTTTCAGTCTTCAGATTGGGAGGTTAGTGTTGGGAAACTTCCAGGATTTAAGAGAAATAAAATGATAATTGTTTTTTCAAGTTTATTAAATATTTGCTACAGATTCAAAGTTTCTAGGAATTTGGAAAAGTAAAGATAAACAAGAAAGCATTCTTGAAAAATAAGGGAGTCTGTAGAATGGCGACTATAAAGTATTTACATGCTAATGAAAAGATGGGAATTCTTTGTATGTGTCTTTACAGCACACCAGGAAAGAATTCTGGAGTCTGCAGCTGCTTCTAAGTGGATGGTGATGAGGCTATTGTTCCCCATGCAATTCACAACTTTGTGTGAAAAAGTGACTACATTAGCAACTTTCAGTTCAAAAGGTGAGTGTCCCCTAAGTGCAAATGTAACATAAGCACAAAGGATGAAACAACTTATTTATGAAATGGATAGATGTTTATTTTGGTGTGAGGAAAGACTGAGAAAGGGAAATGAATATTTTCATGGAAAAAGAAAACCTAGAGAGCGATTAGAACACTCAAGAAATGGGCTCAGGAGGTGACAGTACAGCCATGCTCCCTCTCTGCCATTCTGCCAAAGTCATAGCCATGAAAGTGAAAAACCAAAACAAAGAAAATGAATAAGCTTTTACACATCCAGGCAAGAAGCAGCAGGGAACTGAATAGCAGAGAAGCAAACATATTCTTAGCCCATGCTTCTCTGATTTTGGGGGTTTCATTGACCAATGCTATGTGTTACCCTCCAGTTTTTATTCTGTGCTGGCTAGTTTTAGGTCAGTTTCACGCAATCCAGTCATTTTGGAAGAGAGAATCTCACTTGAGGAGATGTTCCCCCACATCAGATTAGACTGTGGATAAGCCTGTGGTGCTTATTCTTGATTGATGATTGATGTGGGAGCACCCAGCTCACTCTGGATGATTCTATCCCTAGGCAGGTGTTCCTGGAATAGTAAGCAATCAGGCTGAGAAGCCAGTAAGCAGAATTCTTGCATGGTCTTTGTATCAGTTGCTGTTACTGGTTTCCTGACTTGAGTTCCTGCCCTAGTATCCTTTAATGAAAGACTTTGATATCTTATCGCACAATGTGGAATATCAAAGTATATACTGTTATTCTTTTGGTTTGGTCCCTTTAAGGGCAAGCCACGCCCACTCCCAGCCACTTTTGACCCCCTGGTCGCCATCTTAACCCCTTCCTTCTGTTCTCCTCTCTTGGGGTGTACACATGTGTCTTCTCTGTGTCTCCTCTATGTCTGTCTCTGTCTCTCTGTTTCCCTCTTCTTTAAGTAATAAATGTTTACCTTTATGTTTAGGCTTATGTCTATTTACTATGTCCTGTAAGTCTTTTATCCGCCGCACCCACATGGCGGGACCAGCCTGCCACCCTGGGGATCTTGCAGGGACCCACAGCTGTCCTTGTCGGACTAGGACTAGCGGCTGCTCTGCGAGCTTGCTGGGGCATGCCAACATTATAGTTTTCTAACAACAACATAGGCTAAATAATCTTTTTCCTCCCCGAGTTTCTTACGGTTCTTGTGTTTTATCACAGCAATAGAAATGTTAGGTGACACTCCTTCCCTTTTCTCATTACCTGAATAAGGATCAATACAAGGGGACTATGTTCGTGTTTTGTCAAATAATGCTAAAGTAAGCACAAACCATCACTATTAACTCCATCGCGTCATGAAAAGAATAACATGACAGCAACACTCAGGATGGATGCTCTCGAAATGAGAGGCTGCTAGATTAGCTCACCGTTTCCTTATTTTGATACAGGGATATGGCAACCTGTCTATGGGTTGGAACTGTCCTGAGCTCCAGTGGCAAAGGCTGACACAAACTACTGTCCTCACAAGATGAATGAAAGTAGCCCAGCAACTGAGCCATTCGGTCTCTTTGCAAATTTGTGCCTGGTTCTTATTGCAACATGTGGGATAAGTCATTCTCCACAAATTCATTATCAGTTTTAACAAAGCTTTGGTAAAGTTGACTTGCATATTAATTTCAGCTCTCCCTGGCTATATTAGAATGTGTGACAATATAATCAATTGATAAAATCAATTTCTTTGCCTAAACCATGTATCACTCACCACATTGGTGGCATGCAATTGCTGTTTTTTTTCAGCAGTGTTCCCTAGCTTATAATATGCTAAACGTGAAGACAGGAACAAACCTTCCATATCTTATTACCCTTTTAACTAAAGTAATGGTTTGTCACATTGTTGAGCTCTTGTAAATACTTGCTTAATGACTGAATAATGGCTTCAGTGAGGTTATGTTTCTTAAAACATTATAATTACACACTCCAAACTTCCTGTTGCTATTTATGGTTTTGTTTTAGAAGTAGGAAGTAGTTTTCCTCTTTGACCTCATTCTTTAGGATTATGTGCCATAACCTTGCTAACTGTTCAAGGTGATAGAAATGCATAGAACAGCTCCCCTGCCTTCAGAGATGTTGAGTCGCTTCACTCTGCAACTAATTTATGTGATTCTTCCAGCACAATGCTGTACAGAAACACATTCAATTTTTTGAATGCTATAAATAGCGGTAATTTAATTATTTTAAATCTCAACAGAGTAAACACTTGTTCAGATATGTTTTTGTTAGTGAGAATAAAACCTGTTTGTCACCATTAAGTGGCAATACCCACTCTATTTATGGTAGAGTTCTCCTCACTAACAAGTGATAGTCAGTATCCCCATGACACAATTCACATAAATTGGAGCCTTAGCCTTATCCACGTTGAATGAAATGATAAATCGGCTTACTGTTGCAAGTCTTGTTGTACTTGCTGTTCTCCTGCGCAAACCCTTCCAGCCGGCACTGAAAACGATGCTGCCAAAATTCTTGGAACCAAGGGTTTCTGAGGTTCGTTTCTGGCCGGAGTTTCAGATAATAATCGTCAAACCACTTGACATCGGGGGACTGGAGCTTGATTGTAATTCCTCCAACAGCTTCTCGCTGGTACCCATCTGTCACGTCATACCTGTCAGCCCAGCCGTCGCTGGGGAAACACACAAACAGAAACAAGCCTGTCAGCTTAGAGCAAAACTACCCCAGGGAAACAAATCTTGCTGGTTTGAGACACCACGTTGTAAAGTGGCTACTGCGGGACTCACGAAGACCCTGTACTCTCTGCCAGAAGTGACTGTCACCTACCAGCCTGTTAGAAGTAGAAAGCAAGACAATAAAATGACGGAATATCTAGAATTCAGATGCCAAAAAAGCAATAATCTTACTTTGAATTATAGACAAAAAGCTAGCATTTTTAATGGAATTTTACAGATTTCAAAAATACACACTCTAAGTTTCACAATTTTACCATGCGTAATTTTCCTATAATTTTAACAACTAAATCAAATCAACCTTAAATATACTTTTCAGCAATATATACATTACAGCAATCATTAAAAGAAAATAAAATAAGATTGAGAAATATTTCCAAAACATACATAATATTCATTAAAACACACTATGCTATGATGTTATTGTTATTTACATACAAAAATAATAAGGGTTAAAATATCTTGCAGATAGCCATCTTATTAAACATTGATTTTTGATAGTCTGATGCTCAAAGATTTATAGACTGCAGTGCTTACACTCCTTGTCAACCTATGGAACTTCTCAAATACATTTAAACATATGTTAGAAATTTTATATTTGTATAATTTCAGGAAATTAAAAGATAGGATATTGATGACAGTGAGAAGGAACACAACCCCTGAACTCCCACCAGGACTCTCATCTTAAGAGAGCAGAACAGAAAGAGGAAAAATATTCTAAATTCGTGTAGAAAACAAAGGAAACACAGTATTGAAATAAAACAGAAGAAGATACATTTAAGCTAAGAAGTATTTCTTGTAGCAGCTAGAAGTGTTTGATTTGTCTTTCCTCTAGTCTGCTGGAGCGCCCAGCTGGTAATGGCTGTCTTCTGCACCAAGAGATGCTGTCTTTTCTGGAAGACATAGACGTTCTCTTTAAGGAAATATATCCTCCAGGGAATTATGACAATTCAAAAAACCAACACCAAAAAAGCAAAGAAGCAATGTGGAGAGAGCCGAGAGTTACCACAGAGTGGTGCCTGCTGACTGCACAAGAGGAAGATGTTTGAATTTGAGAAGCTGGTGGAGAACAAAGATTTATATTCAAATCCACTGTTTACATTATCCCTATTATTTTAACTGAATAAATATTTATATCCAATATAATGTGGCTATAAAATCAGTTCTGAGAAAACAAATAACACAACAAAGAAAGAATATTTTAAAATATGATGCATCATATCTCTTCTGATTTAAACACTGATAATCAGGAGTTGCTGGAGAGGTCATAGATTATCATTAGTGGATTACAGAGGTTACCCATGATGACCTGAGCTTTTTCCTAAGGCAAAAGGACAGAAAGGGAGAAAAAGAAATAAGAATAAAAAAGAGCCAACTCTTCTCCTAAGGCTCCTTAGACAAGATATCTTATTAAAGTTATCTATGGAGTAATTTTAAGAAACTTTTGTAGCAGATTAGGGAACGCGAAGGAAAACAGTGAATCTGTCCCAATGTTGAATTTGAATACTTCACACAATTATCTTCTCTCAAGTTTCTCATTTTCAGCTCCAGAAGATTTTATTTAAAGCTGACAAGTTGAAGTGAAGTGGGCTTGTTTACCTCAATTCCTCCCTCTGTTGTTGCTGAGAAGAGAGTGTGGGGCTCTCTGGCACCCAGGAGATGCATGGGCGAGCTGCAGACAGGACAGGAAGCTCGTCTGTCAAGCAGGGTCCCCTTCTCCATGGATATGTGAATTCAAATTGTTCCTTGGTTAATGTTAGCTCGCTCTTATGCAACACTGTGATTATGAATGTTATATAAAAATGTGAGATGACAATGGGCTCAATTTGCACTTCACAATCCATTCATTGAATTTAATGGAGTTTGCAAAAAGTCGGTCTTGATAAACTCTCTTGTGGATACTGTTTCCATAGATGAAAAGTATGTGGAATCAAGAATGTTAATTTGCTCATCTTTAACTTCGTTCTTTCATTCTTTGTTTTTCTTGGGTCCAAATTACTTTTTAACAATTTAGAAGAAGATGATGCTTTGTAATTGGCCTTGCTAGCGCCTGTTGGAAGTTTAAAATCATTTTGATCCAGATATTTCCAATGTTTAGTAAAAACACAAAACAACAAGGAGCTAGTGAAGAAATAGAAAATCCTCAATAACGACAAGCCCAAATAGGTTCGCTCGTTTTGAACTTATCAAGAATGTCTAGCAGGTAAGTTTCAAGAATATTTTAGAGTGGAAAGGTGCTTTATGCACTGGTGATCAGTTATTGTGATTGGTGCAAACAAGCTTTCAGATCTGTCTAAAATGTCAGAGCATTTCCAACACAGAATAAAAAGAATCTAAAAGTAGTAAAATATGTGTTAAGGAAAAGTGACACTTATCTTCCTGCCACCCAGTGCTTCTATTGCTTTGATAAGATGGTGTTCAACATTCTGGGGCCACATTAATGCTTGCAGTGATACATGTTTTAGCAAAGCAAGAGGAAAAGGAGAGAAAGCTAAGGAACTGACACACATTAGGCTCTTCTCCGGATTTACGGCATGTCTGTCCATCCATCTGTCCAACTAATTTCTTTTTCTTCTCACTAGTGAGCATGTTGCCCATGACTTACAAACTATTCCAGGTTTCTTTCCCCATTTTTTAAAATATATAGGAGACTGTTGATTTTTATGATCCGTATTTACAAACTCTGGCCAGAGGTATAGCTCATCATCAGAACACTTACCTGGTGTATACAAATCCCAGGGTTTAAGTCTCAGCCATCCCCACTACATTTTTGCAAATTCAACTACTTTCTTCACTTTAATTAATTGTAATTAAAATTTTGATGGCGGTTTAGTTTTGAGACATCCACAAATATGCAGAAAAGGAAAATCCAAGTGTCCTGACTTGATTTTCCCATGGGAGCTTGAGTGAGATGTCAGTTCTCACAGAGGAAAAGCCTCTTTCTCATACTGGGTTCATTCTCAGAATTTCCATGATTATATAGGTTTTGTTGGTGATTTTGCCTTCTCACATGGCCCTAAGGATAGAGCTTGTATGTGATCTGGTGTTCCTAAGACCAGGGGAACTGTGACTTACATAGAAATACATGTGCCACATGACTTGCATTTAGCAATGGATAAAATGCTCTGCTCTAGAAATTTTATAATAGTGATCAACTTAGTATTAAAGAAGAATATACTTAAATAGGAACACATATTAAACAAGTTGATAAAAGTTATTAGTTGATAAAAATATTGTGACCAGAAGCTTAGAGCAGCTTAAGCATGTGTTTCCCCTAGAAAAAGTCAGTATTCACTAATGTAGAAATCGCAGCATGTTTGTAGAACATTGCAGTAAAACATGAGACTTGACGGCCACTTTTAATTGACTTTTGTTCTAGTGCTGTTTTTAGCTTTGCTTTGGCTGCAATAGCAGAGTGACTTGGTTATTAGAAGGAAGAAAAGCTTTCTTATCTCACACACCAAAGTTTACCCAAAGGGAAAATAGCCACATATACACACCCGTTCTCAAAGAACCTTCTCAGGAGACATTTAAAATCCTTTGTCATCCAAAGATACATTTTATTTCTAATTGTACACGAGCAAGTATGCCTGCATGTGTGTGTGTGTGTGTGTGTGTGTGTGTGTGTGTGTGTGTGTGAGAGAGAGAGAGAGAGAGAGAGAGAGAGAGAGAGAGAGAGAGAGATGGTGTGTGTATGTGGGTGGATGTGCATATGCACACATGTCCAGGTAGATGTTGGTGGAATGCAGAAGAGGGCATAGGATGACCTGAGTCTGGAGTAATAGGTAGTTTGTGAATTGTGTGCTGTGGGAACTGGGCACCAAAGTTAGATACTTTGAAAGCAGCACATGCCATTAACTGGTGAACTCTCTTACCAGCTTCTTATATTATTTTATTTCTTTCCTGAAAACAACTTAGAAACATATTCAATAATATTTCACTTTCATTCTCTTCCCAAGATTATATTCTGAAAAATATACACTTCTACTCAACAATCTGCCCTTCTTTCTTCCTCTCAAATATTTTTCATTATTTTCTCATAATTGACAATAAGTGGAAGTCTGTTTTTTTAAAGATTATTTTAAAAATTTCTCTAATTCAGACTAACAAATTTAGTGGTTTTAATAACCCACAAGAAAATGTTCAGGTATTTAAAAATACCATTATATAACTTAGCCTTATAAGTAACCTAACATTAGAATTATTTTATCATTAATTGTATTAAATTATTTGTAACTTATTATATGTCATATATAATTATGGCTATAAATTTACATATATTCATAATATATTCATCATATTATATATATATGCACACATACATAACATCATACAAATTTTATAAAATCACTGCAGGCTTTATAATAATTAGATTTGCTGTCACAATTTATTTAGCAAAACCTTGGAGAATTTTTAAGGGATACATATTCACCAGAATAATTAAAACTAAAGAAGAAAAATAATTACAAATTATTTAATGTTTCATGAAAGAGCTAAATAATTTTAATATTTTTTGCTCAAAGTATAATTCCTTCCTTTTCTTATTATTAGAATCAATATTTGTTTTAAATTATTGCTATTATTTCCCTCAAAAATAGAAAGATACATACAGCACTAAACTAATGGATTGGTGTGTGTTTAGTGATAGAATCAATGTTGTACTACTTACAAAGCATTGATTCAGTATGGGTTTTGAGTGTCTCTTCTGTGTTAGTCATTAAAACACAGGCCACACCCACTGGAAGTCATGAGCTAATTGTGTGTGACCTCCCAGAATGGGCATCACCATCTTTGATCCACTGGAATTTATTCATTTTTCCTTCAGAATCAACATCCCCTTTGCTTTTTTTCCTATTGACTCATAAACAGGCAACTCATTAGGTTTCAAGTCTCTTTATCATTAATTAGTGAAAATTACATTTTGTCCTGCCATCCGAAC